TTAAAGTTGCCAAGTTTCAGAAAAACTACTAGATTAAGCTATGCATGTCATGTAAAGTGCTTTAATATTATGCTTGAATTGAATTACTAGCTTTCGTGTCTAACTTAAATATGAGCATTCTTGTTTTTACAAGCTGAGTCCCTGATATCGTTCCCTTTTTTTCATGGCAGCCTGAAGTAGATTCAGTACTTGAAATGTAAGTGAACTATGCCATCAGCTTTTTAATTTAGAATCAATCTTTCTTTCAGGAATATCATAGCTTCAAAAGGCAGTTGGGGAGTATCTCATACTCGTGTTCCAACAGAATCTAGACCTGGGCATGTTGCTCTAATAGCTGGATTTTATGAAGATGTCAGTGCTGTTGCCAGAGGTATGAAACATCCAATTTATTTCAACAAAAAAGAAAGGACTTTCTATATCTTTTGCAGCTCCTTTTCCTATATAATGAACATGGGAGCTGCTGTGTGTAAATTAGATTGTCAATTTGTGGTAATTTTCTCTGTGTCCTATAGCTATTTTATTATTCTAGAAGACCTCTGATATAAAGAGAAATGAGATGGCTGGGTTAAGTTGTAGTTTGATTAGTTATGCTTTATTGAATTACTGTAATCATAACTGGGTAAGCTCACGCTTCATCATAAACCATAATGTGGTTTATTTCGTTTTAGTATATTAAAGAACTCAGCCTATGTCTTTGAAATCCACCTATTTTAAATTTTTGTAAATGGGAAGGAAACTACTACTTTATAGAATTATGGCAGTAAGTCAGTTTTCCATTATGAGAACGCAACTTAAATGCAGTCAGGTATTATGAGTTTGAGACTAGTATTCAACTTTTATTACTGTATCTAAATGATATTTGCAGTACAATTCTGTGTATGATTACTGAGAAATAAATCATTAGTTTTAGTGGGGTCTGTTCTCAGATAAATATGAACAGAACTCGTCCTAACTCATTCTCATTCTCTCTCCGTATACATGTATGAATTGATATATACCTCTGTGTGTGTGTGTGTGTGTGTTTGGAAAGAAGGATTAGTTTTTATTTTCTCATCTTTGGCTCAAGGGTACATAATGTATTGCTGATTTATTACATTATAGTATATGATAACGTATTTTTAGCTCAGGGAAGTAAATAGAGTTTGAAACAATAGCTTGTTGGCTTCTTGCTTACAGTTATGCTTTAGTATGATGTGTGAATGAAGACCTATAGAATAAAGTAAAATAACTATCATTTGCTTCTGGTTTCTGCGATTCCTGGCTCATTTTTTATGCCTATTTTAGACCTTAAACAAATTCCTGGAAATGCAAGAAGACATTTGAGGAAACAAATGGAAAACAAATAAAGATTACTCAGAAGAATCCAGTATTGTTTTATTTGTTTGAATTAATGAATAAGCCATAATTAAAACAAGCTACAACTTTACATAATACTATATATGGATAAGACCTTTCTTTGAAATTTCCAATATCACTGAGGTTTTTCAGATAGATTCTTCAGGTAATTTTTAGTGAACATTGGCATAAAAATAGATTGAAAATCTATTATTTCTATGTCGGGAATTTTGAAATATTTTCACATTTTCTATACAAAAGTTACAATTTTCCCATGTTAAAAATAAGTATGTACTTGCTAATTAAATGTAATGATGTGGATTCACTTTCCCCAAATGAATATAATACCTTTATAGCTTTTAACAACTGGCACCAAATCTTACTTTTCCCTCTTTAAAAAAAAAGCAAATAACTTTGACAGTGCTTTTTTTTGAGTTACAGGATGGAAAGAAAATCCAGTGGAATTTGATTCTATTTTCAATGAAAGTAAATATACTTGGAGCTGGGGAAGTCCAGATATTCTTCCTATGTTTGCTAAAGGTAAGCTTATGTTAGCGTTATTGATTCTTCATTTATAAAATAGTAAAGATTTATAATTAATTGCAATAACCAATAATTGAATGTTCATTTCCCAGAAAAACCCTTTGTAGCACTTAGAAAGTTTGGTCATTCTTAATTAATGACAACATGCACCTCTGTGCTAAATGTTCTGCTGATGAACTGTAATTGCAGATACTATTTTGGGATTTTCAGTGAATTTATTCTTCTGACTATTTTAGTCCATGTGTGTTTTTAAAACACTGCCTAAATCAGATGCGTCACATGCTGGCCATGCCCACCCCTTGTTTAGCGAAGGTGAAAAAAGTTGTAACGACAATGTGACGCCACGAGTTTGACATCCCTGGCCTAGATAATTGGCAGATTTATTTTCTTCAAAAAGTCAACAAGTTTTTACAATACATGCAGTACTGTGTAAGTCTTGGGCTGCCATTAAATTTGTTGTTGTAGCAATGGCATAATGACCATATAATATAATGCTTTGTTTGATAAAGTGTTTGTTACAAGCCCAAGACTCCTCTTGCTAGCTTCCCATCATTTTGGTAGTTGTTTACATATCAACTGGAAGGAAAAATTATTTTTAGCTAAATTATCCATCTAAGTATATACGCACTTTCTAAAAGTTGGTGTGAAATAACTCTAGGTACTTTAAAGTACATTTAAGTGAAGATAAAATATGTTTTGAGAAGACTTAGGGAAACTGAGTTAAAAATATAGTTATCCTTTTCTTCAGCTGGAATGTTTGGTTGCAGGTGCTACTGGTGATCACGTTTACACCAACTGCTATAAAGCTGAAAGAGAGGATTTTGCAGCTGAAGATGCCACTATACTGGACACTTGGGTTTTTGACCAGGTTAAGGTGAATAAAAATCTTTGTTTTGCATCCCTCTTATATGACTGGCAGAATATAGTTTACAAATTTGTGCTATCTCCTTTATTCCCTGTTGTTTCTGAGTTGTTTTTTTAAACAGTGTGGTGCATTTTAAATAAAGTGGGTTTTTAGGTAGTCTTCAGCTATCTATTATAGGGCAATTTTGTGTTGGATTTTCTTGTCATTTGCTCAAAGGTTTGTAGTATAATGTGTCCATATTTCCATCTGAAGAAAGAATTAGAGGTTTCTGTGTACAGAATACAACGAGAATTGGTGTCTTTAAATTATGAATATTCTTACCTTCTGCTTCCTAAGTACTCCTTCAGTATTTTTACTTAGGATTTATTTTTGTTATAAAAGTCAGTGGGAAAAGAATCTGAGGAAAAATGTGAAGATGAGAATAAATGTTAGATACTCCCATTTGTCTAAAAGGCGTTTCAAGGGTTTGTAAGTAATTTAGATTTAAGTTACCTTTTTGAACATATTTTCTGTAGAAATGAATATAAGGACCACATTCTATAGAGGAATTTATCTAAATGTCTTCCTTCCAGGTTCTTCTGCGTGATAATTGCTGATATAATTAACAAGTTCTAACTTTCTGGTTAGAACCGTTTCTGGTGCTCAGAGTAATTTACTTGGTTTTCTGATCTAGGATTTCTTCAACTCGGCTAAAAACAATGAAACATTGTTTTCTAAACTTCATGAACAAAAAATCATTTTCTTCCTGCACTTATTAGGATTAGATACAAATGGTCATGCTCATCGGCCTCATTCAAGGTAAAAATGTATGATTTATATTTTTTAAATATACAGGTGAAACTCAAAAAATTAGAATATCATGCAAAAATTCATTTATTTCAGTAATGCAACTTAAAAGGTGACTTTAATATATGAGATAGACTTATTACATGCAAAGCAAGATAGTTCAAGCCATGATGTGTCATAATTGAGATGATTATGGCTTACAGCTCATGAAAACCCCAAATCCACAATCTCAGAAAATTAGAATATCGTGAAAAGGTTCAATATTCTAGACTCAAAGTGTCCCACTCTAATCAGCTAATTAAGCCATAACACCTGAAAAGGGTTCCTGAGCCTTTAAATGATCTCTCTCTGACCTAACAGAAAACCATCATTGACACCCTCCATAAGGAGGGAAAGCCTCAAAAGGTAATTGCAAAATAAGTTGGATGTTCCCAAAATGCTGTATCAAAACACATTAATAGAAAGTTATGTGGAAGGGAAAAGTGTGGAAGAAAAAGGTGCACAAGCAGCAGGGATGACCGTAGCCTGGAGAGGATTGTCAGGAAAAGGCCATTCAAAAGTGTTGGGGACTTTCACAAGGAGTGGACTGAGGCTGCAGTCAGTGCATCAAGAGCCACCATACACAGACAGATCCTGGACATGGGCTTCAAATGTCGTATTCCTCTTGTCAAGCCGCTCCTGAACGACAAACAATGTCAGAAGCGTCTTACCCGGGCTAAAGAAAAACAGAACTGGTCTGTTGCTCAGTGGTCCAAAGTCCTCTTTTCTGATGAGAGCAACTTTTGAATCTCATTTGGAAACCAAGGACCCAGAGTCTGGAGTAAGAATGGAGAGGCACACACTGCAAGATGCTTGAAGTCCAGTGTGAATTTTCCACAGTCTGTGTTTATTTGGAGAGCCATGTCATCTGCTGGTGTTGGTCCACTGTGCTTCATTAAGTCCAGGCTCAACGCAGCTGTCTACCAGGAGATTTTGGAGCACTTCATGCTTCCTTCCGCAGATGAGCTTTATGGGGATGCTGACTTCATTTTCCAGCAGGACTTGGCACCTACCTACACTGCCAAAAGCACCAAAACCTGGTTCAATGACCGTGGGATTACTATGCTTGATTGGCCAGCAAACTCGCCTGACCTGAGCCCCACACTGCATTGAGGCAGTAATTGCTGCAAAAGAGGCCCAAACCAACTACTGAATACATATGCATGCTTATACTTTTCAGAAGTCCGATATTGTTCTATGTACAATCCTTGTTTTATTGATTGCATGTAATATTCTAATTTTCTGAGATTGTGGATGTGGATTGTGGATTTTCTGTGGATTGTGGATGAGCTGTAATCCATCATCATCACAATTATGACAAATCACGGCTTGAACTATCTTGCCTTGCATGTAATGAGTCTATCTCATATATTAGCTTCACCTTTTAAGGTGTATTACTGAAATAAATGAACTTTTGCATGATATTCTAATTTTTCAAGTTTTACCTGTAATATAAGTACAACCAAAGCTATACAATTTTAAATACCTTTAATTTATATTATCCAGTGATTCAGTGGATTCAAGACTTGATGTTACTTCCAACTTACGATCAAATTATTTATAGATATAGGTTACAGTATATATAAATGATTATGAATTATGCAAATCCTTTATTGAAAGTGCTTTGTAAAATTTGTATAAACATGTATGAGAAGTCTTTATAAGTCTCTTTGGTGTTTGGCTGTCTTTTTTCTTTCCCTTTTATTTTTCTTTCTTTTTCCTATTCTGTTTACTAAATAAAGGCATTTTTGCAGAGTGCACTTGATATGTGAGAGAATTAGCAATGTGCCTAAATCCTCCATTGAAATTAATAGGATTAAAAGTATGTAACTATATTTGAACAATTTCTTTTGTGTGGTTTAATTTTCAGTTTTATTTTAACTAGGTTAATTTTGTTATGATTATATCTATATCAAGTGAGAGATGAATTTATGACTCTGGAAAAATGGGTTAACTCATTTATGTGAGATCTGTAGGTTAGACAGTTTGCTAACACCTTGTACCATAATCTTTCCAAAGTTTGTGGTAAAGCTTTAAGCTTTTTAATAATTCTCAAATTAAGAAACGTGATGTGTTAGACAAGTGAGGGATTGCAAATATCTTCTGACACAGCATGAAAGAGAATGGGGCAAAATTGCTATTGAGGAAAAGACCAGTTTGATAAGCATGGCTCCTTCTGCATTAATAATAAATGTTACTTTTTTATATGCTTGATGGAAGGACTGGAACATTCTATATTTATAAGAAGTGTTAATGTCTTGTACTAAAATAATAATGTAATAGTAACTCCTTAAAGACAGAACAAAGTGAAAAAAAAGAAAAATGTTTAAACTGGACTATATAGACAGCTGGAATGTTTTCCCACAGAAGTTATTCCTTAATCACCAAGTTCTGCCATGGCAATTCCCATGAAGTGGAATCAACATGTTTGAATTGGAAGGCCATGTAATTTATTTAATAATAAATAAATAAAGCAAGCAAGTTATGGCATGTAAGTTTGATGTTTTCTTTCTTTCTTTCTTCATTTTCTTTCTTTCTTTTTTTGAGAATTTGAAGTCTCAAAGGATATTTTGGGGAATGTAACAGGTTAACACCATTACAATCTGAATGTGCGGGTGAAAAAACGATAACTTATAATAAAAAAAATATTTCAAACAGACTTTCATCCAAATAAACTATTGCATTTTGATTCTTTTGATCATTTTTGAATGTCATGTTTGAAAATTAAATGCTTGGAGTGCTTTAAATTCATTTGTCTAATGTGATGTGCAAAGAAAGGAATAATGTAAAAAATAAACTAGACAGAAAACATTTAATGCTTTTATTATTATTCATTGGTCCTATTTTTAAATCTTGTGCAAATGTACTTCTAGATTCACAATTACAATCTTTTGCTTTTTCTGTAGGGAATATAAGAACAATATCAGGAAAGTTGATGAAGGTATACAAGAAATTGTTTCAATGGTTGAGGGCTTCTATGGAAATGATGGCAACACGGCCTTTATCTTAACTTCTGACCATGGAATGACAGACTGGGGTGAGATTTTATTTCAGAACACTATAAAGGTTCAGCTCAGAAAATCTTTGTCCATTGTGGTATTCCATGTTTTGCTTTCTTTATTCATCACACAAGCCAGTATTTTCTTTACATAAGGTTATTTATATTTTGGAATTTAAATATTTAGAAATGTGCTATATTTATATTCACAGCACTCTTGTCATTTAGAAACAAAGAGAATAGATATTACGGATGCAGAGTAATACAGGTAGTCCTCAACTTATGACCACAACTGAGTCCAAAATTTCCATTGCTAAGCTAGACAGCTGTTAAGTGTGTTTTGCTCCATTTTATGACCTTTCTTGTCACTGTTGTTAAGTAAATTACTACAGTTGCTAGGTTAGTAACATAGTTGTGAAGTGAATCTGGCATCCCCATTGACTTTGCTTGTCAGAAGGTCGCAAAAGGGGATCACATGAACTTGGAACAGTGCAATGGTCATTAATATATGCCAGTTGCCAAGGGTCCAAATTTTGATCATGTGATCATGGAGATGCTACAAAGGCTGTAAGCGTGAAAAATGGTCAGAAGTCACTTTTTTCATTGCTGTTGTAACTCCGAACGATCACTAAATAAATGGCTATAAGTCAAGGACCACTTGTCTAAATATAGCCTAGCATGACTACATTCTCAGCTGAATCAGTCTTATCTTAGAAGCAGTCTAGTATTGGAGATACATCTGAAGCAATCCTTTTATAACTGTTCCATTCATTGTTAAACTTGGAAAAAATTAAAGGAGTCTTTAGGGCAGTGGTGGCTAACCTTTTTGGGCCTCCTGTGCCAAAAATTGTGCGTGTGCTTGCACATTCACACTTGTGTGCCAGCACCCAAAAGGTAATGAGTGCCCCCCCTACACCCTATGCATGTGCATGCAATCCCCACCTACCCACCCCCACCACCCCCTTACATGCACCGCCTCACAGCTGATTTTCAGCTGGTTTGAGGCCTTTTTCGGCCTCCCAGAGGCTTGAGGAAGGCTTCTGCAGGCTTTGCAGGCCGAAAACTAGCCCCATTTCATCACTTCCAGTATTTTT